AATTCATGTAAAAAAAAGAGCTATATTATATTATTATTTAATGTTATATCTTTGAGAATTAATTAACGCTAAATAGGATTCAACTGAAGAGACCTGATTTTTTGTACACCCAACATTCAGATGTATTCGCCATCAATTTATCCTCGCCGAAACCTGCATGTACGAAACCAGAAAACAAAGCTCGCCGCCAAATTCGCTCTCGCAGATTGTGTTCGATTTGTCTGGATCCACTCATTAACCAGCTCTTATAAATATCTTCCGGAAGTTTCGGCTCGAGTATGTCAAGTTCTCTGGCAAGGATTTGGAAGTGAGTATTCACGTGACCGTTGCTAAAAATCGCCTCTATATCTTTGACGTCATTTCTTGATACTCTTGTATTTTTAGGGTTGATCCTGTTTAAAGTGTCGATTATTAAATTTCATTGAACAATTTTTTTATTGACAATATTTTATTGAAATTGTAATTCATTTTGTGAAACATAAAAAGTTGCAAATTGTTTTGTAGTAAAAATTTAATTTTATGTGATTGAGCTGCTTTTTTATACATTTTAATGTGTCTATATTAATTCTAATAAAGAAAGACAATAAAAAATGTATTTCTCAAATTAAGAAGTAAAGAAAAAAAGACGTTCGTAAATTATACGATTACAATTTTGAAGATTATAAAAAAATCAAATCTACAGAATTAAAATTCATATAGCTCTAACAAAGATATTTTTAATTATATATTTCAACGTATTTGAAATTAGTGAAGTGCGAGTGGCAATTCTGAGACATTATCACTTTCAACTTCTTTTTTTTTTTTTATGTTATTTATCATTTTATTGACTGCGATGCGAATATATATTATTTTGCAGAAAGTTTGGCAGGCGTGACGAGGAAAAGCTAGTTGATTTCTCCATCAAGAGTCAGGACAAGCGTTAAAGCACTTGAAAATGAGTTCTGAATTTGCAAGTGCAGTGCTATCAAAATTGCTCTTGTAAATTCGTTAAACTTCAGATATTGCTCTGTGGCGAATTCTAATATTTGTCTTCTTTCCGTGTCCTCACTGAGGGATATATAAATGTTGTTTATGCATAAAAATCAGTCAAGCGAATGCAAATTGAACGCACGATTTGATTATGTTGCTTGTTGGATAAATGATCGTTAAACTTTTCTCTCATTTTACTTATGCAACTAAATGTATATATATTATAGAAATTTAAGTGCAATTTAATTAACTATAGACAACACAAGCGCGTGCTTTACGTGCTCCGACGAAAGTAACTCTATCTTTCTATCCTTTCTATCAGATTAATATACCCCACACGTCCGTCACGCTGCGCGGTTCGCGCAGGACTGATCCTTGTGCGGGGTATCGCGAGCGCGGGACCGATGGTCACATGACCACTGATTCACTGGTCACGTGACCATCGGTCCCGCGCTTGCGATACCTCGAACGAGAATCAGTCTCGCGCGAGCCGCGCAACGTCATGGATGAGGTATTTATAGTCTCGCGCGAGTCTAATGAAGCATAGATATTTGTTACATTTGAGTATGAGAAGAAATAGTTCCGCCGTTTAAAGCATTGTAAATAGCACTTGAAGTTATGAGGGGCTAACTTCACATTTTTTTCCAATTTTGAGGCCGTATAATTTTTTTCCTATTTATTTTAGCGCATTAAACAATAGGGTAATCGATAGAACTCTTTGGAGGGCTATCAGAACTCTCAATAAAATTACTCAAATATAACAAATATCACACAATGTTAATTGAGACAATCACGGAGTATCACGGAAAAGCAATAACATATATTGGGATAATCGACTTTGTATGATTTTTTAAAAAAGATTATATTTCAATGCATTTCTCAATGAAATGATTAATTAGATTTCTTTTAATTAATTTATACAATTAGATTTATGTTTCAAACTGTATATTCGATAATATAGGCTGTCTAATAAATCATTAAATTTAGTATTAAAGTGTAATATTATATAAATAAAAATAAGTAAATATACTTTAATTTCACAGAGAGTAATGTGTTTTACAGTGTCGTTTATTGCAGCTGGAATTACCTGTAAGCCGCGCAGCTAATTAAATAATGACACACTCGTGCAAAGTTTGTGGAATCCAAATGTTCCGCGAGGAAATTCAGCTCATCAATCTCCAAGCACAGATCACATGCTTGTATCTCTGCGTTATGTTTTATATCAAATGCGATGATGCTTTTAATTAACGGTGTAAGACGTTTTCTATGAGAACATTACGGTTTACGTTATTCTTACTTTTCTTATTGAAAAAGCATATGGCTCTACTTATTTAGAAATATGTAAAGTGATATATTATCTAAATATTTTTAGTAAATTCTCATAAAATTGTTATTTTTATAATTTAAAGTATATTTCTATATTTCTATATTTTAAAATTATCTTTTTAAATAATATATTTTACCTGATCTCATTCTCCTCTTTGATCGGCGCATTTGTCCATTCGTCAACGATTTCTGTTTCGAGTTGTCTCACATATTCATGGCCCCATTCACCGGGATTATTCACCTCTCCCCTGATGCAAAAATTTAAGCAATCCCTGAATGCTGAAGTGGCTCCGGCTAGAGCGAGCACACTCAGAATTTCTGCAAAACGTATTTTTACTTCCTTTCGTTCGAGTCTTTCGTACGATCTCTTCAAGCTCGAATAAAAATGTCTTAAGTATTTAAGAGGTTTTGGAACGGAAGTCATTGAAGTCGTAGATGTGCGTATTAGCATTCTTAGATGATTTAACGATAGCAACATTGCTGTCTCGTCTTTACCCTGATGGAAAAATTAAACGCGATAATTTGAAGTATAAAATTCCCTTTCGAGGAAGATGGGAAAAAGATAGCTTTTTTAATTTTAATTTTATTTTGATGACTTATTGTTTTTCTTTCTCTCTCTCTCTCTCTCTCTCTCTCTCTCTCTCTCTTTCAGTAAAATAAATAACAAAATGGTAAAAATTTATTTACTTTTAATACGTCAACCGCTTGTAACAGTTCTTCCTGCAAACTCTTATCTTCTTCATTCTGTATAAAAAATATGAATATGTAATGATACGCAAACAAATATATATTTTTTACATGACATTTTTTAAATATAGCTTGCATCTTTTAAATTAAATGTTATATGCATACCATATCACTTTCCTTATCTTGTTCACGTTTATTCATCGTTTTTAAAGCTTTTCTTGCCGCATACGCTAAATATTTGATTAAATTTCGATAAAGCTGAATTAGACGTTTCAACGATTGAAAAAGCTTTAATTAATAAGCTGTCAAATAAATTCATTTATCTCAATTTATCCGTCATACGCAGCGCACGGCTTTTGTTTCGTCATTTTGTGGAAACTGGTATAAAAAATAGTTTATATGTATATAGGATGATTCAAAACAACCGTTGGTCTTTAAAATGTATTCCTGACTTGATTCTAAGACGATTTTTCTTTTGCCAAAATTTTATTTGAAGCTTAGTTTTTAAAATATTAAAAAAAAAAATAGCGAATTACGGCACGCAATTAAAATTTTAATTTATTAAATTTGTATTATGTCTCGACATAATAAAAATTTGAACTGCAAGAGCCATCTCTCGAAATAGAATACTTGGTGAATGTGTTATCAAAGAATGGTTATTCAGTGCTCTTCGTGGAACGTTTGCCAAGGCTCGTTTAGTACTGTCATCTATATCCCTTTTAAAATGTAGAATTATTCAGCTAAAAATAATGTTAACACTGTTGGTAAAATTGCCATTTGATACATGTTGTTTACAAATAATAAATCATAAATAACTTTGTAGACATATCGGATATACAAGAAGATTTGAAAATTTTTTTGACATTTTCACGTTAAAGCCTGAAGTTTTCCCTGCAAAAATTAAAAAATTTAAATTTTTATCTTTCCTTATCAAGTTATCGCAAATTGAAAAAAAATATAATTTTCACTTTAATCGTTCATAACTCCGTTAAAAATCATCGTACAGCAATTTCGAGACACTACCGTATTTCTTGATAGATATTAATATAAATTTGAGGTTTAAACGTTTAAATATGAATAGTCAAATCACGCGTATTATTCGATTTTGCATCTAAAATCTCTATATAGAGACACGTAGACATTCATAACACGATCGCAATGGTTGAGCTTTCAGGAAGAGGTGTTAACCGGTAGAGGAGCAGACTACCACGCCCAGTTCGTAAAATTTCATTTCTAACTGATTAAAATCTAATATGGAAACACGCCTACCCTAATATAGGGGTCTGCTAAACCGTGTTGCGATGTACCATCTCGAAATCCCGTTGTCTCTCATTTCTGACTTAACAGTTTAGCTTCAACTCGATTTTTCTCTTCTTTTAATCGAAAGTTGACGCTTTTTTTCGGAATATTCCTTCTACAATTAATCTTTTTTTTATAAAATATTTAATATAATTTTGTATACATATTTTTGGGATGCACAATATCTTCTAAAATATTATTTTTTCTCAGTGTAATTTTTTTCTTCCAAAATAAAACTCTAACTTTATTTTATTCCATTAAGACTTGCTCTGATATTATTAAAATTTGCATGCAAAAAGTTTAATATTGGAATATTCAATATTCTTATCCATGTTCTTTGTAGATTTTTTTTTCGTTGTTCAGCACATTGTAGAATATCCTATTCCTACTTCGAATCGTGACTTGTTTGTCTCGTTCTATAAACAGTCTAATTATATCAGTACATATGTTGACCATGTATTTCCTTGAGCAGAACAAATCGATCGCGTGTCATCTTCATGCCAGCATTGAACGATTTCTCCTCGTGTCGACAAGTGCCGTTTCGACTGATATCCTTATATAGTTAGGGTCGTCTCGTGATTCCGTTCGTAAAATCATATGATTTCTCTTGCCGCGCGTGATCTGTGTACATGTATATGTGTGTTTGATTGAGTTAAATCTTTAATTCTCTGCATCGATACAAAGTAATGTAATACTAGTGTATCAAAGAAACGATTTAGTTAATCTTATATCCTTAAAAGAGGCAGTCTGTGAATTGGAAGCAAATACTTTGCATTTCATCTTTGTTTCTCTTTGCTAAAGTAATTAGCACGAAAAGTAAGGAAAGTGATAACTTTTGTGTGAAAATTTCATTTTATGCGCGCTGTAGAATATCTCTTTCTTTCTCTATTTTTTAAATAATTTATTATATATTATAATTAAATATGTAAAAGTTTATTATTATGTTGGTAAATATTCACTTTTTAATTAATAAAAAGCTTTTGGTAATTATGTAGTAAATATAAAAAATAGTCTATATAGAATACAAAAGAAATAATTAAAATTATTAGTTGAGAATAAAAAGTTTTGAGCGTTTAAAAGTAACATTTTTTAAATTAAAAAGTCTATCATATATCGACGAAAAACAGTAATATAAAGTTTATACAGTAATTATTTTACGGGAATTTTTTTGATGACTTTGATATTGATATGGTTATAGAGGGATTAAACATATAATTATGTCTTAATATTTATATATTAATAATAATAATAATTAAATTGAAAAGATAAAAATTTTAATATTTGTGTATATTTTGAAAATTATACTAGGCTATGTCTTAAAAATTTAATAAATATTGTGTAAATATTAAAATTTTTATCTTTCAAATTTTATTATTATTATATAATCTAATTTTATTATTTATTATATAATCTAATTTTATATTATTATTTTTCTTATAATAAATATAATGAATAATGCATCAAACATATATATCTTCCAGCTAAATGTGTTAGGTTTATTTGAAGCTTATTTGTTTATATTTTAATTAGATTGAATTTTTTTATCATTATAGATGTTAATTTTATTTGCACAGTTAGCATGCATCTTTACGAATTTTTCAACATCGTGAATCACGATAAATATATTGTTTAATTCAACATTATGTATTATTCGTTATGTTATAAAATAACAAATTGTCTACGACATAATTTTTTTGCTTTATTAACGCGCGACTTCAACAGTTTAATTATTATTGCCATATTAAGAAGAAAACTCTGTATATTTTACGTGTCATTTTAATTATATCTTCGTTTTTGTCTTTCTCGTCAATTTTTGGCACATACAAATATTTTTGAAGTTTGAGCGCCTCCAGTATGAAAATACGAGACGTGTTTTTAAATAAGGCTCGATCGGACATTAAAAAAAGGAAATAAAATAAAAGAGAAAACTTTTACTATTAGGGTACTATTTTACTTTTACTATTACAACACTTTTACATATATACTTTAGTTTTCTACGTATATAGTCATTATTTTTCTTTTTTAATAAAAAATCTTATTTCTTGGTACCACAAAAGTGCTTAGGAGAAAAATGGTAACTACGTGTAGAAAAATAAAATATGTACAAGTGTTATACCAGTAATAAAAGTTTTCTCTCTTACTTTGCTTTTTCTTTTTAATAATGTTCGACCGAACTTTACTTAAAAAACACGTCTCGTATTTATGTAATAAAGCCTCAGCAAATTCTTTTCTTTTTTGCTTCTTGGTCTATCAACTGGGAAATGATTTATCTCGGAGATATCTGTGACGCATCCGAGGCTAATAATAAATTCGGATGACGACAGATTTCAATTCGAATTTTATATTAACAATACTTTGTTTTATTTATTATTTTTTACCATTAATCGAGCTTTTATTTTTATATACAAAATAGAATAAAATGTCACAAAACAGATATGAAAAATCTCGTCAAAAATTATTCTATACAATGATATGTTTTTTTAAATTATAACTATCACATTTTTCCCAAATATGATTTTCCCATAGTATCCGACCGTTATCGGCTATCGGGAAAATTAACGCAAACATTTTCCTAGACTTTAAAATAAATAATAAAATATTTTAATAAAAAGCAAATTAAAACAATATGTTTATAATTTTTGGTTTATAAATTTATTTAGTCAAAACTAATATCTGCAATTCAAGGAATTTTTAAGATAAACGTATTTCAAGATGAAAATGATGATGTGATTAAATCCTAGAAACTATTTTATATATATAACAGTGATAATTTTTAAATAAAATAGCCAACTATTTAAAAATTAATTTGAAATAATGTATAAGATAAACTTGTACAATTTTTTTTATAAGAAAAAAAAGAATGCAAATAGAATGCAATAGGAAGACAATACATTTTTTAGACAACAAAAACTAATAATTTTAAGTGTAGTACCATAACTATTTTATAGTAATTCAAACAAATTTTTGTATTTTTTCAGACAATGTATACATCGGTCACCGAGAAGCAACAAGTGCTGCTGTTGCTTTTGACAGAAATTATTCTAATTGTTTTAATTGGAACAATAATGACGTATGGCCCGGAAGCAAATGCTAGTTTGCTTAAAAATCACACCGGTATATACAATATATATATAATACACGTATATTTTATAATATTTGTTATAGAGGCAATTTACAATTTACATCAAAATAATATAATTTCTACAAAAAAAATAGAATTATAGAATATTATTATTATTAATAATAGTTCCAAAGTAAGGAATTTAGTTATTATCAATTAAAAGATATTTTGAATAATTAATTAATATTTTTATTGTATCTGAAAAAAAATATTTTAAACTTACAGGCATTGCCGACAAACATAAACAAACGAAGAAACCAGACGAAGATTCATTGCGGATTTATCCGAGTAAGTATATTAAAGTTTAATTACATTTATTAATTGATTTGAAGGTATGAAATAATTTTTTCTATATGTGCATTTACTTGAAACAATTTTTTTAAAGTACGTTAACTCAACGTAATATATTATGTGCTATTAAACAACAAAAATGACTTTTTGAAACTTTATTTAGAAAAATATATTTGTTTTTAAAAACAATAAAAATTTATAAATAATTTAATTTACTTATAAAATAATTTACAAAAAAAAATGATTCGTTCTTTTATAGTGTATACAGTAACTTCTAAGTATTAATTATAAATAATATAACAGCTTAATATATACATATAAGGTAATTCTAAATTGAATATAAAGATTTTAATAACAAATTCTATGTAACATTTTAAAACAAAAATTCTAATAGGAAATTGTCGATGCCATATATTTTTCAAATAAAAAAAGTTCAAAGATTGCGAATATCAGGGCTAGAATTAACATATAAATTATGTACATTAAATTATTGGCATTCCGTATATGTTGAAATAATAATTACATTATAAGTGCCTAGGACTGTACGAGAATTAGTTTACAATAAACAAAATACTCGAAATACGACCAAAATACAGAAACATATCATTTTGTTTAATCTAACCAAATATAATTACACACACAAAGCAAAGTTATATTAATCTTTGATAATAAAATCTCAAAAATTGCGACGCATGCATGCAAAAATTATTTATTAAAATTAATGCATAAAATATATTAATTAATTATGCAACGCATAAAAATTTATTTAATTAAATCTTTAACTTATTCTTTAAATCTTTAAAATACAAATGAAGAAATAAAAATTTTTACAAGAATCTTTTATGATCAAATATCTACGCTTTCATTAGACTCGCGCAAAATTTCATACCCCATATGTCTATCACGCTGCGCGGTTCGCGCGAGACTAATTCTCGTTCGAGGTATCGCGAGCGCGAAACCGAGGTCACGTGACCAATGGATCGACTGGTCACGCGACAACTGATCATGTGACCACTGGTCATGTGACCATCGGTCCCGCGCTCGTGGTACCCCGCATGAGAATCAGTTTCGTGCGAGCCGCGCATTGTAACTGATGTGTGGGATATATTAATTAATTAATCTAATCACATGATCAGTTTCGCGCGAGCCGTGCAGCGTAGCGGATACATATAGACGCGTGGATCTAATGGAAATGCATATATTTTGATTGAAAGATTTTTGTAGAAAATTATATTTTTTTTCTGTTAAAAATTTATATACTGAATTTTTATGAATCACGTAATTAATAAATATATTTCTATGTATGCATTGCAATAATAATTTTATTGTATTGTAATTTTTAAAGTTTTATTATCAAAGCATAATATAATTTTTGAATATATGATTTGTTTCACGAATATAATATAATTTTCACGCGAATAATATAATTTCACAAAAATAATATAATTTGTTTCGTATCTTTATTAAATAAATAAAAACGAAATAAGAAAAAATACATAAAGAATATGCAAAATATACAAAATAGTTGTAAAAATATTCGACGATTTGAAATTATGTTGGACGATTTGAAATTATGTACATAATTAAAATTTGGCGAATTAAAATTATGATCATATTCATAGCATCAAGCTATTGTCATGGCAAAGATTAACAATTTGACAATTGTAAAAAAATGCACGTTTGTGTCGTCTAATATAATAAATAATTCATAATACATATATCTATAAGTTAGGAATATTTCGTAAATTTAAATGAATACATGTTTACAAGTCCATGATAAATATTTATTGGATATAAAATTAATTAAATATGTTAGAATAGAGTATTATGATTTTGATTTCGTGTGATTCTCGAAATGGAACATGACAACGACGAATTTTTTATTTTTTATTTTTTCTAATTTCTACTTGTAGAATATTCTCCCAATTGTTGATTAAATCCTGCAACACCCTGTATATATTTTCTTGTTAGTAAAAAAATTCAAGAGAGAAACTTGTAATATTTTACATAACTTAACCTGTATGGATATCTATGTATATCCGTTTCATATACCAAAGTGCGTCATAATCGTACAAAAGCATAATAAAAGTAAAAAAAACCTATGTCAGCACATGAAAGACAGAGTTACGACCTCTGATGTCTTGATCTTTTCTATATTTTGAACAGATCGCCGATTACTATTGTGCATTCGAAAGATTATCAGTTGCGTTAGTCATCGGAGACAGTACAGCTTTGGCATCTGTTGGCAAATGTTGCCGTGTCGAACAATTTAAATTTGAAAGTTAACTAAATATTTTGGTAAACTCGACGTAGCTTCAGGTGTATAAATCAATACAGCATCATGTGATCTTTATTTTTAAGAATAATTAATTTATTATAATTTAATTGATTTATTATAATTATTTCAAATAAAGTTTATTTAACAAATTATTTGACTATAATGATGCAAAAAGTTCGTAAATCGAATTCCACTAAATACATGTAAAATTAAAAGTGTTTATAAATGTACTTTTAAAAGAAAAGGTAAAAATTTTTTTTAATGGAAGCGTATTGCGTATTCGATGATGACTATTTTGATTAATTTGAGTTTATTATATAGTTACTTGTATATACTAATTTCACTAGAAATCACATTGATTTAGTACATTTCCCATATGGGATGACGCACGATGCCGTTTCATTGCTGGATATGTGATGGTCTAATGCACGCGATTATGCTATTGTTTGTCGAGGGCATTCTAATGTGCACTTTTTTTGCTATGTATTATGCTCCGAAGGCGGATGCCGCCCTTCGAGAGAATAGTGTCGCACCTCATTTGAATGGAGAATCGATTTTTCTGCCGGTTTCGTATACATGTAAGTTAAAAAAAAATAAGTCAGTAAAAAAAAAAAAATAAAAAATAAAGTAAAAAGATCTTGAAAAATTATTATAAAGTTAAATATTAGATTATTAAAGTGTATTATTATGTGTTCCTTTTCACATACATATGTATATATTTTATTAATTGTCCAAAAAGTCTGTACAGAAAGTGTTGTTTTAATGCTTATATTTTATTACTTAAATCTACTTTTCCTAGAACAGATATTAAAAGATTGAAAATAAAAATTGTACACATTATAAATTTAAAAATTTTTTATTATATTACATGAATTAAATTATATTTTATTTTCTCTCTAAACTGACTTGAGATCTTCTGGATTTTTTCGGTTTTATTCGTTTTTCTTTGCTACTTGCCCTTGATTTTCTTTTTTTCTTTCTTCTTTCTCAATAATTAATTTATACTTGCATTGTTCCTTATTCTACGATATTTCTATTTATCTTTCAATTCATTTACATTGAGGATGCGCGTAAATTGATGAATCTAATAATAAAAACATGTTCGTCTTATCACTATAAATAGTAATCGTGATTAATATATGCCATTGACATTCTCGGAATAGTTTATAATTATAAAATAAAATACATATAAAGCAAGCAAACATAACATGTTCTTTAATTGTGTGTGTTGAAAATTCTTTTCAAAAAAATTATACCAAAAAATTGTAACAAGCTCTTTCTATATTAATTCCTATCTAAACTTACTAAAATGACACAGTGTATCAAGATGTCCACGTAATGATTTGGATCGGCTTTGGCTTCTTAATGACATTTCTAAAGCGGTACAGTCAGAGCGCTGTAGGCTTGACTTTCCTTGTTGCTGCGATACTCGTTCAAGTGGCTTTAATCTGTGATGGCGTGCTGCAAATGACTTTGGGCAGCAAAGCTTATCTTTCTTTGGAAAGGTATCATTCAATATTTTAATTATATATTTTAGCTGCAATTTAAGATAATTTTAATGGATAAAATTTATCTCTCATGAGTTTTTTTATCGGTAATTTAATTATATTATTTATAAGATAATTATATTTATTTAACTTTCTGCAGGCAAAGCATTATGAAATTTTTATAATGACGCATTCTTTTGATAAGGCATGAATATTAAAAATAATTCTTTTTGTTCAATTTTTTATTAATTTATGATATTGATAAATGTTGCGATTGTCATTAATTATTGCATCATATATTTCTTTTTTATGCAAAAATTTTTCAGCCTTCTTAATGCCGATGTTGCTGTTGCTGCACCACTTATTTCCATGGGTGTAGTCCTGGGTAAGGTGACTTATATGCAACTAATATTTATGGGAATAGTGGAACTGATTATGTTTACCATCAACAAGTACATAGGGGAGAATTTATTTATGGTAAGTTTATCTCTGGTTTTAGCCACTCGCAATTATTTATAAGAACATATAACATTTATGAATAAGATTTTCTTCCTCGTTTTTATCAAAATATAATTTTCTCGTCTACATCTTTTTAGGGGGATCAGAAAAGAAGTTACATTCGCTCTTCTAAACATTTTCCAATATCTCTTGTAGACATTTTCAAAATATAATGTTCTTCTTTGATAAAAATATTATCCTAAAAAACTATATAGTAGTATTTATATATTAATAATATATACAAAAAAATTATACAGGATAAGTTACTCTTAACATTAAAATCTAACAGTAAGATATATTCGGTGCTCCTTAATGATATGAAAAATGCTTCATATGTATTTAATAAAGTGAAATGCCAATGTATTGTATAGCAAGACTCCAACATACAATCTAATTAATATAATAACTTAATATATAATATATAATTAATATAATATATAATAATTAATATATAACTTAATACAAATATATATTCATATATTAGTATATATATTGATAAAATAATAAATATTAATAAATAGATTTATTTATGTGTGTCTCTGTGTGTATAATATACATAAATATACATATATATATAAAATACACACACACATATTTATTTTAATTTTTATAGGCCGTCGACGCTGGTGGTAGTATGTTTGTTCATGTATTTGGTGCATACTTCGGATTAGCTATCAGTTTTATATTTGGAATAAAGGATCGACCAAAAGAAAATGAGCTTGAGGGATCATCTTATCAATCAGATATATTCGCCATGATTGGTATGTGTCGTGGTCGTATCTTATATAAGATACAAATTTTTTTTTGTGTATTAACTATCATGTAAATCTATCTAAATTTTTTAATGTTCTGATATTTTTTGTAGAAAATTTTGATAAGAAATTCATAATTTTGAAATTATTCTAATTTAATGCATAATTGTTTCTGTATGAAGACATTTTTAAATTTCTTTTTGTATGTTTATTATTTTTGTATTTAATATTTATTTCGAATTTTTTTTTTTTAAATACTTTTCTCATAAATATATGAAATATAAAAACTTTTATTTACATATTTTATTCTATTACATATTCTATAGCTGATATCAAGACGTTTACAAAACACTGTTTGACAGTTTTATTTAAATAAAAATTTTCTAAATATTTTATATATATATATATATATATATATATATATTATTTCTTGATTTATTAGAAGTTTAAGCCGATAAATGATACATACACAAACACAGATGTAAGTCTATCCATTATAATCTTCTTGTAAATCACTTTGAGTAACATGCTAATGCTGACAATACTTTAATCTTATTGACTTATAACTCAGGGACTTATAGTTAAAGCAGTTCCTAAATAGCGTTTTGTATACGTGACATTTAGCTGAAGAAATATGCAATAAAAATATGGACTTTTATTTAAAAAATTAAAAATACAAACTTGACATAATTTTTTATCTAGAGGAATTACCACATAGTTTTATATCTTTTATCTAGATATATTTAAAACAAACCCATCTTTATCTTGTCTAAGAGATAAATTTACATATTTTTGTTTCATCTTTATTTAGCTAATTTTAAAGTCATTTAACAGTATATTTATCATGCGCCTGTATCATCACATTTTTACTCTTTCATATTTTGAGAAAAATGCTACATGATTAACAGAGGATCAATTAATAATAATAACTATTTTTTTAAATCACTATTTTTAGGCACGGTGTTCTTATGGCTATTCTGGCCGTCATTTAACAGCGCCGGATTGAAAGGAGATGATCAACAACGGGCCATAATCAATACTTTGCTATCGATTTCTGCTAGTTGCGTAGTCGCATTCGCCGTATCCGCATTTGTTTCTAAAGAAAATAAATTTAATATGGTGCACGTGCAAAATTCGACTTTGGCTGGTGGCGTAGCCGTCGGTACAGCTGCAGGTATTGTCAAAAATCATTCTTGATGTCTTATTAATTTATTCACGCGTGAAAACAAGATATTTTTATTTATATATTATTTATATACACTCTCACTTCAAAAAAGCGGTATACTTAAAATTTGGAAAAAAATCAAATTTCAAATCACGATAACTTCGTAAATAATAAAGATGGAAAAGTTTCTAAAAAATGAAAATAAAATTTGGAATCTCTACTTTAAGAATTTATTCATTTCAATGTTGCGAGATAAATTTATTAAAAATGACGGATAATGAAACGAGAGTATGCAAAATTGAAAAATAATGTCCGAGTTTGCCAAGGCACATGGTGTGAAACAAATGTTGCAACTCAATGTGGTAAAAGCTTATAATAGTACAGAGTTTCTCCTTTAAAATGCTTTTTTATCCATCTCCATACAATGATTTTTCGCAGAGTTATTTGCATTAAAAGTAAAAAACTGCTTTTTTATTCAAATACGAATATCTCGGCGAAAAATCATCGTATCAAGATGAATAAAAAAGCATTTTAAAGGGAAGACTCTGCATTATCATATGCTTTTTATCCCATTGAGTTGCAATGTTGATTCACGTCATGTGCCTTGGCAAACTGAGACATTATTTTTGAATTTTGCATGCTTTTGTTTCGTCATCCGTCATTCTTAATAAATCTATCTCGCAACATTGAAATAAATAGATTTTGAAAGTAAAGATTTCAATTATTTTTATTTTTTAGAAACTTTTTTATCTTTTATTTCTATTATTTACAAAGTTATCGTGATTTAAAATTTGATTTTTTTCCAAATTTTAAGTGTACCGCTTTTTTGGAGTGAGTATATTTTATTTAATTGCAAAAATGTACAGAAATAATAGATAATTATTTTGTTTCTTATTTATTATATTTTTGTTGGCTTTTCTTTTTTTATACATTTTATATTCTGACTGATTATTTATTTATCATAATGACTCTTTCCTTACATTTTTAATTGATTGTAATAATTCAACATTTTTTCATATATTTTATTATGTAAGAAATTCAAATGTCTTCGGACGAGAAATTGTTATAAAATACTTGTTCAAGAAACAAGTGCAATAATATTTTTTATTAGCGCTATCTTGTTCATTGAGTTAAACATGTTTTTCTCTAATCTTATTCTTCTTTTTTTAATGCATAGGTATGATGTGTGAACCAGTAGGTGCTTTGATTATCGGCGCTTTATCCGGTTTTATTAGTGTACTGGGATACAAATATCTTACGGTAATTATAATTATTGATATGCAATAGGAAAAATAAGGAATAATAATAGTATAAAAAAGAAAGCGAGGACGAGAGGTTGAGAGAAATAAAATATAAGTCAGAAGAATAATTAAAAAAAATATTCATAAAAAAATAGTAAAAACATATAATAAGAAAAGAGTAACTGAAAAGAATCAAAGACTTGTAATATCTGGAGATAATAAAGGAAATTTAATAGGAGCAGATTTTTTAATGTTGAAATGGGATACGAAGGTTATTTGAAGGGATGATTGAAAAGAGAGGGTAGTAAACATAAAGGGCAAGAAATTTTGAAAAAGGAGAAGGGATGAAATATTTTTAAACTGAAATATAAACATTTAAGATAAGGAATAAATTTATAAAATTTAAGAAAACAAAATCAGAAGAATTTTCAAAATTATTACGAAACTCAGATAGAAATGAAAAACTTTGTAAATAGCGTATGCAGAAATAGAATGTGTTGTAGGATGTTGTCAGAATGAAATCGAAATTTTAGAGTACTTAGCAACAAATTGTATCGTAGAGATAAGGGCAAGTACAAGTATGAATCAACTTTGGGAGAGAAGAGCGAAGGAATCAACAAGATAAACAAAATTATATAAGGACAAGGAAGAGGAAGAGAGAAAGAGAGAGAATACCCCTTTTCCCCAAAAATATACAAAAAGATAAATTTAGAGAGAAAATAAAATATGATTTTAAAGATAATACATAAGTAATTTAAATTCTAGTGCAATGCAATTAAGTTATCAAAGTTTTTAGATAAAGAATTAAATTAATATTGTTATGTCAAACTTATATATATATATATATTTTTTTTTAACATTCGCGTCATTATTGTATGTTTTATAAAGTTTGTTAAAATCGCTTATTAAAACTTTTCCCTTTCAAAGTCAATAAGAAAGTATATATTTACACTTTTTATACACTCTCCTTTTTTGCAATAATTACAAAATAATCATTTCAAAACGCTTTTCTGCTTGCAATCATCCCATTTCATGTCTTAAATATATTTATTCTTAAATTTAATTTTATTAATTACACAGCCAATTATACAGAAACGACTTCAAATTCATGACACTTGCGGGGTGCACAATTTGCATGGGATGCCAGGCGTGTTGGCTGGACTTTTCGGCGCACTTATGGCAGCTTTGGCCTCAGAAGAGTCTTATGATTACTCTCTGTATGAGGTATGTAACTCTGTTGTCACGAATTGATTATTTAATATTTATTGATTTTTTCAATTAATTTGTTTCAATCAATTTCTATTTATATAACCGCGTGGTTTATAGTAAAATTTAGCTAATATATTTCATCTAATAGCGAAATAATATAAGATCTTGAGTAAATATAATAAATAATTTTTAAATAATTTTAATATTAATTATATGTAAATAAATATTAATTATTATAATATAAATAATTAATTTTTAAATATAAATAATTATATGTATATAAATATAAATAATTATAATAAAAATTAAGCGCTTCTTATCAAGTAATAAAATTATCGGTATTTGTCAATAGAAGACAAAGTAAGTATTATGCAAAGAAAAAATATAATATGCATGATAAAGCGCATTTTATTTTTAGCATTATTTTCTGATCCTGTTTCTTCTTAAAATATGTATTTGAGCATGCATAAATATGCATAAGAGTGCGGTTCGATGGAAAATTTTTGAAAGTTAACATTATTGTTTGTAAATGTAATAGAAAATATTTAGGATAAAAACATTATATATTTTTATCTTAAATATTTTCTATTACATTTTATGATTACGATCTTTAATGATATTGATCAACACAGATCTTTCCCGCACGAGCACCAAGTTCGGCGGGAAAACTCGATGAAATGAGGGACATTTATGGGATATCAGCGGGATTTGATAGGACTGCGCATCAGCAAGCCGGATACCAATTACTGTCGTTAGTGGTCACCCTTGGAATCTCCGTCGTATCTGGATTAATAACTGGTATTTTCAATGGATTTCTATGTCATACATTGCGAAAAATTTGAAAGAAAAACCAATTTTTTCATTTTGTTACAAATCTATAAGCTTTTGATTCTTGGCTGCAATTTATATATTGAATTATATTTTGAGATAATTAGTAATGTATATATAATTTAATCAGGTTTAATTCTACGTACAACAAAATGCGGTTGGGTCACCGATAAAGAGAAGTTTGACGATAAATATGTTTGGGAATTGGAAGAAGAATCTCAGGACGACTCGTCCGGGAAAATACGAAAAGATAACACTCGTGCCAACGATCAGATAGCAATGGGACATATTTAATAAATAGATATTTATGAAACTATTTAAACTTGCATGTAAGTATTATTAATAAATATAACGCTATATATTTTGATTTTATTTTAACTAATTATTTTAATGGCTTTCTTTTGATTCTATTTATATTTGTCAAAGTTTTATTGCAGATAAAAATTATAAGAAAATCTTGTTATTTTATGGAATGAATATATATATATATATATATATATATATATATATATTTTATTTTATCAAATATAAAAATTGTGCAAAATTAATAAGAAAATATAATAGATGTTTTTATCGATAGAATAAATTTTTCTCGTTTGTAAAATAGTTTTACACAAAAATATTGTTACAAAATGTTTCTTGATTAGATTGTATTTCATTTGTATTAAAATATTAAAACATGTTGAATAAAACAGTTAATAAAATAATTACATAACAATTTATGTAAATATTAGCAATTTAATGAGTAAATAAAAAATCTCAAACATATATCGCATATTGTATTATATATTATTGAGCATTGTATATATAAATATATACAGGGTGTCCGGTAACTAACGGACCAATGATCACAAATGGATTCTTTGGTCAATTAGGGAACGATTTTTCTTCAGCGAAAATGTCGAAAAAAGTCATCATTTTTTACAACTTTCCAATATTTGTCATTATGTATCTTTATAACTAAACCTCAAATTAAAATTTTATTACGGTAAACTCTACCTGAAATTAACTGAAGAATGTAATTATGTTAGACTTTTAACTCCAAAACGTTTAGTTTGCAAAAAACCCATTTTTTTCAATCGCTCGTATAACTCGAAAATTATTGACTTCTCAACATTTTTGCTAAGGAAAAATCGTCGTCTCCAAATTGACCAGAGAATCCGCTCTTAATCATTGTTCCGTTAGTTACCGGACACCCTGTATATGTACATATATGTATGTCTTTTTTGAAATTGCAGATCTGTAAAATTATAATTGTAATTCTTATTGATATTGGCAAAGAGGAGTTTCGAATTAACGAAATAAAATATTCCGAAAATAGTACAGTTTTTGTTTTTCGATAATTTATTTTCATGATTATTGTTAAATTTTGCAAAAAACATATAATACATATTACACAGTTTGACGATGAATCCATAGGTGGAAGAAGATATAGTCAACTGTCTGTATCATAAAGTCATAAAAAAAATCATTGTTTTTATATTGTAAGGTTTTCCTTCAATCTCCACTTTTTTCAAAATAATACACGAACAAACTAAAAATATTATTGCGCGCTTTCATTCGCCTTCTCATTCTAATGTAATCATGTACGATAAATATGAATAATGAAACAGTAGCATTGAAGGAGAACATCACTTTTTTTACAAGTATACAGCTGATTGAACGGACAAGATCACAATACATTATTATACGGACATTTGATTTGTATAAACCTAACTTAACTTATTATAATTACATTTAGGAGAAGCTTAATATTACTTATAAATTCTATAAATTATATAAATTAATTGGTACATACAATATATAATATATATGTAAAAATCTTAATATATCCTTTTCAATAAATTTCTTCAAAATGATGAAATGCATGCAAATATATGTATCAAAACACATGTACATTGAATAGAAAATGCAACTATATCGCTAAAAATTGACTTTCGAATATAAGTGCGTCTGATATAGCAGTGCGTACTGATAAATTGTATAAAAGTCAATAGACAAAAAACGCAAAAAGAGATTTATAGAACGAACTTTTAAAAAACTTGGCGAATTTTTTAATTTTATTAATATATATCTTATTATCTATCGTCTAATTAAAATTGCAATCAATTAATCAATTATCTCTTGATCTTGCAATCATCTCATCTTTCCTCAATATGTTAAAGAAGGAAAGCGAGAAAGAGAAGAAGGAGAGAAAGGAAGAGAATTCTATGAAAAGTCCTAAGATCTCGTTTTATTTCGATTTCTAATGATGATTGATATTCGTTCGTTCTCATATCAACTTTAACAATTATTTATTTATTTTATTTAGATAGTGCGATCAAGTGAACCATAGATTGTGTACGAGAGAGGCTTTTCTAAGAGCTAACACCAAATTTTTCTTTATCTTTGGTATTTATAAATTGAATGTCCTGTTTGTATATTCGGAATCTCCTCTTTTTAATTTCTTCTTTCCGATAAATATTTTATTCATTATTTGTTTCTAATAAAATCACATCTGTAGAGTTTTATATAATATTAATGAATAATCCCAATGAAATTCCTCAAATATTTCTTAAAATCAATATCAGTTAGTGAAAGAAATAAAGGAAATTGAGATTAAAAATATCTCGTTTCAGCAAACTTCTCTGGCAATTTGAATTGCTTTACAAAGTATGGCTTTATTCTTAAGTTTGAATTAATATGGCGTACAAAAATGATATCCTGGAACACTTTAATTTGAACTTTAGAGAATTAATTGCAACTCCCTCAGATAGGTTTTCATAGTTGATCCTTTTATATTGCTCGCTTCTTAGCAATCGCCCGAGGCACGTAATTAAAAAGTGCGACATTTTTAAGAATTCTCATATTACTTATCATAGTAAGATTATCTCACTCTTAAATATTGTCGAAGTTCTCGTTAAAAATTTTTTTCTTTATTTCAAATAATTTTGGTCTTGTGAATAATTAAAACTAAATTCTTTTTCTCTTTCTCTCTCTTTTCATCCTTTCCCTTTTCTCTCTCATATATATATTGTATGTATATGAGATTCTATTGCACTTTTAGTATGAATGATAAGATATAGAATTATGCAGAGAGGGAGCAATGGATGTCAACTATGAAAATTGACAGCTGCAATTAATGCTTAGCTCTGTTTTAATTTATATTCCTTTTTTTAATCGACAACAGGTATCGTGTCGCACTATAGTATCACACAAACAGCGAGAACATCGACGATAATCCGTTCTAAAAATGTTTTTAAATCACTTAAATTTATCAACGTGTCAACAACATATCTCAAGATCAAAATTATTGAATGGTTTCGATATTCAAAATATTTACCAAATGTTTTAGTAAAATTCTCTATAAAATTTATATATGCATATATACACATATATAAATGCAATTTTATTTCATTTCTATATAATATAAATACAATTATAATAAAACCATTATATGGTTTAATCATAATTGTATTTATAAAAATTTTTCAAAAATAGAAAATACTATTATTGAATTATATATTATTAAAAACATGCTGATGCATGGTGAATTAAAATTCTGGTTGCAAAAGAATGTATATAATTCGCATTTTTAACTCGTGATGACGTAGTATAATTAGAGAAAAAGTTATATATTTTTTAAAGTAATCTTTTTTAAAAATCAAGATATTTTAACATTTGACATCGTTTGACTTACTTGCATCTCCTGTGACACCGCTTTGCGACTCGATGTTTCATATACTATACAAATATTATCACGATATATCATGACAATGCATATACTATGACAAATAACACTTCAACATTATTAATCATTCTTTTTTTAATCATTGTTCCATAGAGTAAGCTATATGTTCCACGTTATCAGTATTATGTACTTCTTCCTAATCGATTATTTGTAAATTACGTCTGTTCGTTCGAAGAGAAAATTGCGCTTTTTACAGATTTTCAGCTTTGTTTTCTTTTTCTGTTCTGTTCAAAAATTAAAACTCAAATCTATTTATATAGTTTTGACACGAGAAGCGCAAAAAAATGCATTCTGAATAAACAAATTATGAAATGCAGATTTGATTGTTGAAAAGTCATTCGCTAAATATTGCAAAAATTGTGGTATAATTATTACTTTGTAAAAATAATGCTTGATATTAATGATTAAAAGATGCTTAAAGACTTGTTCAGTTTTATTGTATGCAAGAAATATATTGTGTAAAATAAACAGTATTTCTTGTACTAAGTGCAACATCAATTATATCTACATATATATGAAAGAATAAACGATACATAATAAACAAATTATGTAAAATTGAATCAGTTATTACGAAAAAGACATGAGTTATTACTATTGAAATCGAAGTGATAATATGTCATGTGATTTAGTTATCAATGCCTATTGCGTAAGATTTATTGAGCTATTAATTATCAGATAATAACTTTCTTTATAAACAGTTATTATCTCAAAAAGATGATTCTATGACTCATTGAAGATAAGAGAAAATGATCAGTCTCATAGAAATTTTGTGATAATAAAGTTAATAATTTTTTATTTATTCTATTATAAAATTTTTTAAACATCTTTTTAAAAAAAATATTTAGCTAATATATAGTTTTCGTAACAATTAATTCAATTTTTTAATTTTTGTTCTTTTCAATTTTTACAGAAATTTTGTAGTAATATCAATTCTTGATGTAAAGGTTGCCGGGATTTTATGATCTTGCAAATGTGTAATCATAGCTACTTAGTCATCATTAATAATCATCGATCGTAATAAATTGTTATAAATATTATATATATAATGAACCAAAGTCTAAATAATATTGCAAAAATTATTTAATAAGACGACATGCGTAATATTTGAAGTTTATAATACTGTATAAAAAACTAATAAGAAAAAAATAAGTCATGAAATATTAATATCAAAATTTTAATATCCTTAAAACTTATCTGTAAAAAATTTAAAAAATTGGAAGAGAACTAATAGAAATATCTCACATTTTTTTGGAATAATCTTAAAATTAGAATAAAACTAGTAGCGAGAAAAATGAATATTATTTTCGACTTACAAATGAATAATTTAAAAATTAAATTTATTAATTAATAATTAATAATTAATAATTAATAATTTAAATTAAAAATCTACTATCCCTTATTAAAAATCTGTTATAATCATATACGGATCTATTATCGCAATTTCTTTATATCTAAGTTTTTAACATCTATTGTAAATGCCAATTTTTAGTGTCATTTTTATATTCGATATTTGGAGCTGTTTTGGATGGGCACATCATCATATGAGATCAGTCAGACTATAATGATATTATGATCTAATTATAAGTGGCAGTGTATTACGCAAGCGTAGTAGTATGTTGAACGAGAAACAGGCAGTGTTGCACTTTACAGTAGAGGCTTTTTAAATTTAATCCCTTTAATTTTGGTACACCTCATGAACAATATAATGTTGCGTCCCCTTTATATCGTATAATGGGCAAATCACATGATAGGTATGCTCCTACGAGCAGTAGAGAGGAGGTCTATTAATTTCTTTTCAAGAATATTCCGCTCCTAGATATCCCTCAGAGGGCCGAAATTAACGAGATACTATGCTATATTTAATAGTCTTATACATAATGTATGTGCATACGAATATATACTGTACGAATACGATAACGACGTACAGTAATATAAGGCCCAAAAGCGCATTCAAGAAATCACACTTAACTAATGTTACTTAAAATAAAACATTAAATATAATAGAAGCTTTTATCATTTTAATGCGACCTGTCTGAATATATTAAAAATGCAGAGCGAATAAATGAATCATGACAGAAATATTTTGATATATTGATTAATTCGTATACAGATTCTACGTGATAGAAGATACTTTATAATGACAAACATTTTTATATGACAGTATATGTTATATATGTCAAGAATCTATAAATATATTTTTGAAAACATCGTCGAATTAAAAAATTATGTACAAACACGACTGCATATTGATTTCGGCAAATAATGACACATTTTTCTTCAGTACGACATTTTTTTCTAACTTTTGGGAATTTTATCTGACACAACTTCTCATACAATGAACGATGATAATTGCAATAAGCGCTTTGGGGGTATATCGAAGGTGACATCTCAGATCAGTGTTAGTTTTTATACGTAAGTGCACATACATGCACACACAACACACAGACGCTTTCACACATGCACTCGTCTTCAAACATTCCGGTTTCATTTACGTGCGATCAATTTTTTTTGCTCACTCAGAGATATCGGGACGCCGAGTGACGTTTAATGTTGCCTTCGTGAATGCGTACAGTCTGTTCTATGTGGAAAAAAGCATAGATAGCGTTAACAATGAGAGGGCAGCTAGAACGAACCGATCGGCCTGGACCGAGATCGAACCGGAACTGAACCAGCTAGAGCCAGAACCCACACGTGCATTTTCGTGGCGGTTGGATGGTTGCTCGGAGGCCATTAAATCTTCCCGCGAAAGCTCCGGGCACGGTAGCTCCTCCGGCTTTAAGTCGAACAAATGCTTTATGCAGCATTTGTTGACCTGAAAAAAATCGAAATCATCGATCAAAAATGAGCGAACTCAAAAAACGATCATATCGATGCGAAGGCAACATTATCAGTGTTTGCTATTATCTAAATAAAATTATATAGAAAACATTATATAGATGAAAAAAAGTATTATCTTTATTAAACTATCTAGAATAATTTTCAGATAATTTCGGTTTAGGATCATAGCACATAAAAATACTTAAATAGAATTTAAGCAGTAAGTGATTAGTATTATGAAATATAAGAAAATATGTAAAATAATATAGTAAAATAAATAAAATATTTTATATTATAAAATAAGCAAAATATAATATTGTGAAAATAGTCAGGAAAGTCGAATCTAGACTTTCCTTTTTTTAAGTAAACGCTTGATCAATTTAATTATCAGCGCTTCAATGATATTGTTTCCAATAATTCATCTTTAGTAAATACATTTATAAAAATAAGTCTTTGTATATTTTTTTTAAATTTATAAGATAACTATTTTAATTGTATCATTTATAACAAAGCCAGGGTGTCATATTTAAAAGATTGAACAATCTACTAAAATTTTGATTAATATTCAAATTTTCAGTGCCAAATTTCCTCTTTTCAAAATATTTATTTTCGAGAAATTTGGAATAAATTTCAACATAATAAATCTATTTTAATTATATAAATATATTTTAATTAAAAACACAATAAATATATTTTAATTATAAACACAATAAATATGAAAATTGAAGCTAATATTTTCTTCGATCAAAAAATAAATATGTTTTAATTATAAACAATTATTATTTGGAAAATAATCTCTATAGTGAATGAATTATAACAAATGCTCAAAATGTGCTTCTAGAGGTCGAATGCAAGTTTAATTGAAATCGGGTCTATCATAAAACATTTTTTAATTAAATTTAAATAATGTGAAAATTTTAATAATGAAATACATTAGCCGCGCCATGTGAAATGCGATCAACAAACAGGTGTATCTTACCTTATCGTTCGAATTTGAAGAGTAATTTTCGTCGTCAACCCTGTCATCGGCCTTCTTGTACTCGTTACCATCATTTCTCGAATAATCAGCAGAATATTCCTCTGTAATAAAGACTAGATAGATCTACGCAAATTGAGATATAAAAATCTTACATTGCCCAATGTTTTTAAATTCAAAGACAGTTTTAGATAATAAAAAGAGAGATGGTTTTTTCAAACATCGGACATGATATGACGTGAACCTCGTTTTATGCAAAAAATTGGAGAAACTCATGTAAAACTACATAATTATAAACTTTGTACTGAAACATCACTGGGTAATGTGGAGAAAACCTCGCTTTGTGTGATTAGTTACAAACTCATGTGAAAACACAATTATAACTCTCGTTCACCAGTTCTTTTTTCTAAAAAATACTCAAAGAGTATTTATTTATTAATAATTTTTTAGTAAACGCAATGAGCAATTAAAATTTTTTTTTAATTGTTTTCAATGACTAGGTACAGAATTAAATCTTGCGCTTATATTTAGCATGTACTGGATAGGGAATATTCTTGTCTACACATATACACATACACATTAAATATTATAATTTACATTTTTGATGCAAAATTACGCTAAGAAATATTAATATCCTCGAAGCAAAACTTACTGGGAAATCTTCCGAAATGGCCCTCGTTGTTGTTCTTTTGTGATACGTTATTGCTTTCAATAAAGCATGTCAGCTCTTCTAGGGTATCTCTTAGATGCGTGTTCTTCGTTTCATTTCGCAGGCCCCAGATCCATGCAAGTTTGCAGTCACAGATCAGCTCGTTGTCTGTAAGCAGATACAGAGATTCTTATAGCAGTCTCTAATCAACTTTTTTAAGCTACGTGTCAAATTATTGATCTCCAACTACACGAAAAAGTACTATTGCGTGCATTTATATTGGCATATTTTACTAAGAACAGTGTTTGCAGTGTTATATCAATAAAATTATATAGATAATCATTTAGATGAAATTTTTTGGCGTCATCTTATCTTTATATAGATAATAAAAATATGTACTTATTATTTATATCTGCATTTTAGATGGAAAAATTATCTCTATTAAATTATCTCGAATAACATTCGCAGATCATTTAGTTTAGAATCATAGCACATAAAAATATTTAAGCAGTAAGCAGTAAAACCATACAAATAAAAATAAAAATATATTTTTGTATCATTTTATAATTTTTTATAACTGTGTATACATAAGCGATTTTAAAAATAATATTATTTGAAAATTATCTAGACGAATCACCACATTTTATCTTTTATCTAGAATCTAGATATATTTATATATATTAAAACAAATCATTTTTATTTGTAAGATACATTTACGTATTTTCATCTCATCTTGATCTATCTAATTTAAAAATCATCTAAGCACAACACTAAGAACAAATGGTGAAAATACTCACCGCTAAGAAAAAAGTCGCTGTTGATGCTGTAAAGATTGGTTACGATAGGCTTGATATTGTCAAAAGTCATGGTCTTCAAGGCGTTCTCCCTCAGATCCAAAAAGCGAACGTTCGGTGCGCCGGCCAGGAAATCCTGCGGCAGCTTCACCAGCAGATTCTCGCTGAGCCGCAGTTTCTGAAGATCGTGCATACCATCGAATGCTCTTTCGGATATATACGTAATTACGTTTTGATCGAGTTCAAGCTCGATTAATCCCGGCATCTCGGCGAAGTTGCGCTTTCCAATCATGGCGATTTGATTGTTACGCAGATTGAGACGTTGCAGATTGCGCAGACCGTAGAAAGTTTCGTGCGTGATACTGGTAATTTGATTGCTACTTAGCTCGAGTTCTTGCAGTAAGTTTAAATGCTTAAATGTCTTGTCGCGGATGGTGCTGATATTATTTTGGTGCAGAGACAGCTTGCGCAAAACCGGCAAATTCACAAACGCCTCTCTGCAAACAATCATTCAAAAGCCTTGTATATGTGTGTAAAATTACATACTTTATATTTAATTTTATTATACTTATATATAATATAATTTGCTATTTTATACAACTAACAGTCTTTTTTAAAATCTGTTCGACATCCTGGTTTAATTAGTATTTTAATTTATTAAACGTAAGAAAAGATAAATTTCAAAATTTGAAGTGCTTTATTATGTTACATATAAAAATAAAACAAAATTGTTCATTTTTATGAATTTTTATATCTATCATTTTTTAAAGTTTTTTTTTTAATTTATATTATTTCATATTTAAAAATTTAGATGATTATTTTGAAATTTGATTATTATTTTAAGAAAAAAAATAATTCTATACGGCAATTGTTTTTGGAATATAAGTAAATCTAATTAATATAATAAAAAAAGTTATGAAATATAATATAACAGTGTATTTGATATTATAATGGTACATCATAATTTATAAGAACTTCTCATATTAATTAAATTTAAATAAATATATATATATATATATATATATATATATAAATATATATAAATATGTAAAATATATAATATCATTGTACTATTTATATTATGCTGTCAAATGCAATATATCTCTCATATTTGAAAACTGTAATAAAAACTTTTCAGATTAATTAAATTTCAATATTATATTACTTAATTTGTAAATAAGGAAAAATAATACGATAAAAGAGATAATTATAATGCAATTAACACGAATAATGAATAATACAAATAACAATAAAAAAATTTTGAATAACAAATAAAAATTGATCTAAATAAGATCTAAATAAATTAAATTTTACGATTTTTTTTGGCCAGCCCCAATAATTTGGATTTTATAATTTACGATTCAAACATAAATTGTGATAATGAGAAATTAATATTCGACTTATATGTATGAGCATTAGTACATATATTACAAAATTTTATGCATACAAAAAGGATGTATAAATTTAATATAAAGTATTAGGAAATTTTAAAAATGAAAAATAAAAATAAATATATAAGCAAGGAAAAGGTATCATAAAGTTTAAACAATATTCTACACAAAATTAGATCTAGTTTATCGCCTAATGCTTTCGATGCAAATGAGATTTATCATTTTACATAGCTTTGTAACTTTGTACGTAAAGCAAAGTCTATCCCACATTGTTCGACTTTTAGTATGAAACGAGATCTATAATTATAAAGTTCTACATAAATTTGCAACTTTTAATGCAAAATGAAGTTAATGTACAGATAAAGGTAAATCTCTAATATAGAAACATTAAAATACATACATACATATAATTATGTATTGTTCGAATGTAATACATGTTATACATATAATTGTATTGAAATCGCATAATGTGAGATGTAACTTCATTTTGTGTGAAAAATTGCAAAAAAAATTATACAAATTTAACAAATTATATATAATTATAAAATTCTATTTTGCATATAAATATAGTTTATTTTTTAATAAATAAAATTAATAGTTTATGAGACTCGAAATTATGATCGTGATTAGATCAAAGTTGTTAAAATTTACATATAATTTATAAATAATATAATTATACATATATAAAAATATATAATTATATATAAAATATAAATAATTATAAATAATATATAATTATATATAAAAATATTTTATTAATCTATCAAAAAATTTAATTAATTAGAAATAACTTTATTATCGTGTTGAAATATTTTTTTCATAACTATTCGCTTCTATTAATTGTCAATTACCCATACCTATTAATATCGGTGATGCGATTTTCCTGGAGACTGAGTTCGGTGAGGTTCCGCATGTTCTCGAAGGCATTTTTCTGCAGCGCGATGATCATGTTGCGATCGAGATTGAGACTGGCGAAACCGAAATTACTGAAGGTGTGCTCGGTGATCTCGTAAATATTCGCATACATGATTTTGAGGGTGTGCAAGTTCTTCAATTGGCGCAGCAGCGCAGTGGGGACATAATCGAGAACGTCGATCTGGCGCACTGTAAACACTAGTGTTTCCAGATAAATCTGCGATTTAAAATAATCCCACAGAGGATCGTCACGATCGAGCTTGCTCATCACCCAGCAATCGGCACTGGTGGCATTTTGCAGATCCTCCTTGCAGTAGCAATACATCGCCGTTTGCTGATTCTGAATGTCACAGATATTCGACTCCTTCATCTCTTTGGCGACGATCTTTTTTTTGCCGCGCGGCCTCGACACCCCCATACTTGACGACACAAGCAAAATTATCAATAGCCACAGCTGAAGAATCGGAAAAGTATAAAGGGATCGGCGCATTATGATTCTGAAACAAAAAAAAATATTACGCATATTGCGCTGCAATTGTAATAAATATAATTTATTGTAATTAATTATATTTAAATATAAATATAATATAATAATTTTTATTTATATATTTATTATTATACTATATATTATATTAGATTTATTATATTTTATATTATATATTTTCATTTACATATATAATTATTATCAACGAAACACTAATTAAGGTCGTGTAAATAATCTCACTTAAAATACATTAGAGTCTGACGATCCTTTGTTAGGATATGTAATGGCTGTCTCACAATTTCAATTTAATTTTAATTTTGACTTGTACATTTCTCACTAAAAATTAATATTAATTATTGCTGTATGATAAGTTCATTATTATTAAATTACTTGTAAGTATTACGTTGTTTAAAATTGCGAATTTTATATTAGTGTTTTGTTGATAATAATAATATATGTAATAAATTATTGTAGTCTCAAAAAGGACCACAATCACATGGTCGAAACGTCCTAAAATTTAATAAACAATTATTACTTGCTAGTTTAGTCGATTATTTTCAAAACTTCTATTTAAATATTAGTGACTGTCATTAATAATTGGGAATTTATGAATTATATATATATATATATATATATATATATATATATATATATTATATTATATTATTAAAAAATTTAATTTATAAATTATAATTATTTATTTATTAAATTATTTTATTATTATTAATAAATTATTTTAGAAAGATTCAAGTAAAATATTATTTAGTTTGATTTCATAAAATAGTTTCTGTACAATGGTTTGATGTATAAAATTTCATTGTATATCTTTTTTTATTTTTAAAAGCGATTTGTGTTCTAAGTATAATAATATTTTTTATCGTCACCAATTCAAGTGAGAATAACAAACAGTCGATTGCTTTCAAAGCAGCAAAACGACTCGTTAAGGGTTGATTTTCGTGTTATTTTTAAAGTCGTATTTAAAATCGACGCAACGCGACACCACATGAAACTCTCCGATTTTATATCACAGAAAATTTGCTCGACAGCTCCAATACGATAACATCGATACGTAATGGCATATTGTTTCTCCGTCACAAAAATACTCTTTAAAGCAAATATTTTTTCCCTTATCCATAAAAGAGAACACACATTGGGCACATTGTTACATCAACGGATGGCAGAGTCGCAAAACGGATTTTAATAAAAATTTTATTAATTCAATATTTGCAAAAAATATATAATAAAATTTTATACATCAGGCCATTGTACAGAAACTATTTTATGAAATCAAACTAAATAATATATTACTTGAATCTTTCTAAAATAATTTATTATCCTATTAATAATAATAAATATAATTTAATAAATAAATAATTGTATTTTCTTATACATAAATCCAATAATATATTTATGTAGGCATTTTAAAACCCTTAAAAATGTTTTAAAAATTATATAATAAAAGATATAAATAATCAATTACAATCTTTTCAATTCTAAAGCATATAAGAATTTTATATTCTGTATTCTGTTCTATAAATATATTAGTTATTGATAATTTTTTATAATTTTATATAAACTTAATTCTAATAGATATATTGGTGAAAAATTAATTTGCATTGATATACAATAAAGTATTTTAAAACTATAGTAAAACTTTCAAAACTTAACTGGCTAATAAAATTTGCAAAAATAAACTATCTTATAAACATCAATCTACAAATTAATTATTTGTGATTCAATTTTTGCATTTGTATGTGCAGCAGTTTGTTTTATATAATTGCACATATTAATATTGTGCATCATATTTTATTACTGTACATCATATTTTATTATCATATTATATTCAGTTATTTTTACTTAACAGAACAATTTGCAATCATTTAATGAGTGAATTTTTATACTACTAAAAATAAAAACAGAAATAACTAATAGGTCATCTCTAAATGGTTTACTTTTTAAATTCTCGAAATATACAATTATATTTTACGTAATCGTATGAAAAAAATAACTGGCTTAAGAATGAAAACAATTAAATATCACGAATAAATATCTCGAGAAATTAATTAATTTGCAAATATTTATTAAGATTTATATAATTTCACAATACGGATAGAGAGAGATATCGCGTAGCAACGCCTTTGTGCCGCGCAATAATATTTGTTCGCAAACTTTCAGAGAGTTTGGACGATTTTAGCGTATATGCAGCGTATTTGCGAATTTTGCGCGAACTTTCCTTTACCGTAACTCTGTTTATTTATAAATATAAATTTAACATATATAAGATAGGCAATAAGAGCAACTCGCGGATGACAGTGCGTTATTCTAAACGAAACTAAATTTTTCGTTAGAATTAAATACCTGTGCACAAGGCACCAAATTTTTACTTGGACACGGCCAAGATATAAAATTGGAATAATCTCTACAAGAGATTTTTAATTCCATGTATCCCCTATTCCCCCTAAAGAAATAAGTGCGAGAGAAAAATATAGATCCGAAAGTCGCAGAATCGGGAATCGAACCCGAGACCTTTCGCTTGCCGGGCGACTGCTCTTCCAACTGAGCTATTCAGATCCTTTCGATTCTATACTTCTCTCTGTTATATATATTAATGTTGGTAAATAAACGCCTTTAAGCCAGCGTGTATAATTAATTGCCTATCTTATATATGTTAAATTTATATTTATATATTACAGAGCCTAGTTAAACTCTTAATTTATACACGCTGGCTTAAAGGCGTTTATTTACCAACATTAATATATATAACAGAGAGAAGTATAGAATCGAAAGGATCTGAATAGCTCAGTTGGAAGAGCAGTCGCCCGGCAAGCGAAAGGTCTCGGGTTCGATTCCCGATTCTGCGACTTTCGGATCTATATTTTTCTCTCGCACTTTATTTCTTTAGGGGGAATAGGGGATACATGGAATTAAAAATCTCTTGTAGAGATTATTCCAATTTTATATCTTGGCCGTGTCCAAGTAAAAATTTGGTGCCTTGTGCACAGGTATTTAATTCTAACGAAAAAATTTAGTTTCGTTTAGAATAACGCACTGTCATCCGCGATTTGGCTCTTATTGCCTATCTTATATATGTTAAATTTATATTTATATATTACAGAGCCTAGTTAAACTCTGTTTATTTAATTATTGTCAGGACAGCAAGCGAAAGCTTGGACAAAAAGCCATGGATCCACAAGTTTCAAATCAATTTGAGTTTTGTTCCATTTTCCTGATATACCTCCTTCTCTCTCTTTCTCTTTATCTCTTTTTTTCTTTCTCATTAGTTATCAAGGTATCCAAAATAACATATTTAGTTGTAAGTTAATCTAACTACAAAGCAAAATATCCATTTACATAACGAAGCGTTGATTCTGTTTAAATTATTTCATATTGAAATTTGCTTAATTCAGAAAGACACAGATATATTTAATTAATTTGTATATAAATATATTTAATTCTATATATCAATTTCAATTTATATTATTGCACTCTCTAGTTGATATTAATATTTTGAAATCCATTTGCTACTCTTACTTAGTTGCTCGCGAATAAAACACATTTATTTTAGAAAGCATGATAGGTATAATAATTTAATAAAATATTGAAACAAAGAACTAGCGGAACAAATGAAATCATCGTACTGCATTTTGTTTTAGTAATTTTTTTATTTATAAGCGCAATTAAAAATGAAAGAGAAATAAGTGAATTTTGAGATCTAGCTTAATTGAAAGCGTAAAAATATAAATCAATTTCTACAATGCGATATATTGGAAATAAAATATTTTTTTATTAGAAATTTCTTCCTACATTAATTGAATGATCGATTCAAAACTAGATATAATTTAAAATGATTATAAACATCCCTGTCATAAGTAAATTTCCTCCTCCTCTGTGTATGTCTATATATTTTAATCTATATACTAATTTATAATAATTTTATTTTTTTCCAAATTATAGAAACAAATTTATACAATGGCATATAATATAGTAGAAATTTTGGTATTTCGCGATTTAATAATAAATCACAAAACTGGCAAATATCAGGGGCAAATGTAACCGTTACATAACCGCCCCAGATGTAACATATGCAGATAACGCGCGGAAGTTTTTAAACAGAGTGCACTCTTGGGAAACTCATAATAGCACGATAGCCACTGTTTTGTTTCGTACTTCTTTCCGATTGCGATGAGAGCGAAACTCATCTTAAAAGGGTACCATACAGGGTTTGTCCGGAAAGTAATGCGTCGCATTTTTTTGTGACGCGACTATACATCGCAGAGCGATGGGACCGGTTGGGAAGGAAGGGGGGTACCCTTAGCTTTCCAACGGTAGGTCGCTCAATTGTTTCCATGCGCTTGGAGGGTTAGGACGGCTTATTCTGTGAACCTCTGCTTAGTGGTCGCGTCGAACTTGTGATGGAGAGAACGATAGAGCAACGCTATGCGATAAAGTTTTGCGTGAAGCTGGACAAGACGCCGCTGGAAACTTTTGAAATGCTCAAGAAAGTTTTCGGGGACGATTGCCTTTCCAAATCGCAGTCAAACAGATGGCACAAGATGTTTAGAGAAGGTCGGAAGGAGGTCGCCGACGAGGCCCGCGCAGGACGCCCGTCAACATCGCGAACGGACGACAATGTGACTCGTGTGCGCCAATTATTGAATTCAGACCGTCGAATGAATGTTCGCTTAATGTCGGAATTATTGAACTTGCCGAAAACGATTGTTCACGAGATTGTATCGGAAGACTTGGCCATGCGGAAGATTTGCGCAAAACTTGTGCCCAGAGTGTTGACCGATGCGCAAAAGCAACACCGAGTGGAAGTTTGTGAAGAACTCAAGCAACTCTGTGCAGATAATCCCAATTTCCTGAACAACGTTATCTTGGCCCCGGCGGACTTTTTTTTTTTCCTCGGCTGAAAGGGAGCTCAAAGGACAACAGCTCGAGTCGGTTGACAACGTACAAGCTACTTCGACGGCCTCCCTGAACAGCATCCCAGTCAAGGAGTTCCAGAAATCT